ATGTACTCACCCTCAGACCATTCAAGATGTAGATGACTTTGTTTCTTCATCAGATTTGGAGAAATGTAGCATTACATCACTTACTCATCAATGGATCCTCTGCAGTGAATGGGTGCCAGTCCAAACAGCTGATAAAAACATCACAATAATCCACTAGTAATTCACACCACTCCTGTCCATCAGTTAACATCTTGTGAAGTGAAAAGCTATGTGTTTGTAAGAAACAAATCCATCCAGACAAACTTCAAACCATTGCTTCCAGTTAAAATATGAGTCCCCTATCCATAATACAGCTTCCTGCAGTGAAAAAGTCATCTCGTCTGAATCAGGATAGAAATATGTACAGATCAAGCACCATTTACAAGCCAAAAAAGGAAGTGTGATTATGGATTATGGACTCATATTTTAGCCAGAACTGACTGTTTAAAGTAAAAAAGCCTAGATTACTTGTAGATTATTGTGGTGTTTTTCTATCTGCTGTTTAGACTCTGACGGCACCCATTCACTGCAGAGACCCATTCAGAGCAAGTGATGGAATGCTACATATCTCCAAATCTGTTCCCATGAAGAAACTCATTTACGTCTTGGATGGAGTATATTTTCAACAAATGTTCATTTTGGGGATGAACTGTTCCTTTAAGGCATCAAATCATTCAGGTTTGAGGTGCCATGTACATGTGTGTAAAGCAGCCCACTAGGTTTTGGAACAGAGCTGGTGTGTGTAGATTCCGACGGACCCCTGGGAGGGAGGGGCTAACAGATTAGATTCATGAATATTCAACATGCTAATGAGAAGCAAATGAGGGGGTCTGTGTGGATAATTAGAATTGTGGCCAGCAGGATCTGGCACAAGAGAAAGAGAGATGCTTCAGTGGTCTAATATAAATTGTAAATATGGTGTCTCTGTAGAATGCGTTTATTGACGGATAAGGTAATTAATCTGCATCATCAGCAGTTGAGTGTGTCTGTCAATCAAAGTGACAGTTATTGAGAGGAGCGTTTTATTGCTCACAGGTTGCTCTTGAGATGCGGATGTTAAAATACTGTCTTCTGTCCCAGCTTAATATGCAGAGACAACTTTTAAGTAAGGTTGATTTCCCAAAACACTGGAACTGTGCTGCTTACAAAACGCTGTTTGTTTGTTTGAGCATCTCATCTAGTTGGGCAGAATGATCTGTTAGTTTTAAGTGTTTAGGAGCTGTGCTATTCTGAGTGGTTGCACAGTTCAGTTTTAATAGAGATTTTAGTTGCTTTCATTTAATCTTTAACTTTATTTCAGATGTTTCTCCTGAAATTACTAAATTCAATTTTAAAGCCATTTCGTCTTGCGAATATTACTTTTTTCTTTTCCGAATCTTGAGTGGCTGATGTTTTACCTCTGATTTCTTAATCTCTATTTATTTTCCAGGTGAATAGGGTAAAAAGTTGAACTATTTATGCATTTTGAACTATATGCATTTTGTTTAGTCAAAATCAGTTTTTTTTACTGAGAGAATTTTGGATGTCTCTTTTTATTATTCCATAAATCAGAAAATACTGGCAACAACCAGAAAACAAACAAACAAACAATTACATTTTCACCATGTGTTTAGAAAATTAAATTAAATTAAATTCAAGTTTATTTGTATAGCGCTTTTCACGATACAAATTGTTGCAAAGCAACTTTACAGAAATTAAGTTTCTACAATATATTTAGTAGTAGCTTGTCAGTGGTGACTGTCAGTTAATGTACATATGGCAGAAATGTACGGAAAAATCAATTAAAGACATAATCAAAAATATGTTGTGTAAAATCAGGAAAATGCTATATGAACAAACTTCAGAATATAGACAGGAAATATTCACATATAATAGAATATAGAACTATAGTGAAATATAGAGCTACAAATGTGGGGCAGCCCAGATCATTTGATGAGAAATTATATTTATATTTAAATATTATATTTATATTAAAATCTCAAAATGATTTCAGACTTGGGTATCTTGGCAGATCTGAGTCTGTGTTATTATTGTTAACTAAAACTATTAAAAATATTTTTGGTCATTTAAATGAAGCTGAAATAAGATAATATTAGATCAATTTAAATATTAGATGAACATTTTTTTAACTTAAATGAACATTAGAAATGTTGCATTGGCAACTAGTTTTAGTACAAGTAATTAAATTAAAACTATTTAGAAATATTTAAATAAAAAATAAAATGACTAAAACCTAAACTAAAATGGAAAATAAAAATAGAATAAATGTAAAAATTTTAGTGACTCCCTCTATAGTATGAGACATTTTTGAAATCTCCTCGGAAAATGTAGAGATGTGAGATTACTGTTTGATTTTCTCAGGAGAAACATCTGAGAAACAGGAGACTTAAGCAAACAAGTCCATTTATTCTCCATTTGTAGTTTCTACTGCTGTCGAGAAGCCACAATTGAAATAAAGAGATTTCATTGTGATTTCTCTTTCCTACGAGTCCATTTCTAGAGAGCAACAGCACAAGTAAACCCAGCAGAATTTCAGCGTATTGCCTGTGTTTCAGGCTGTGTGTGTGTGTGTGTGTGTGTGTGTGTGTGTGTGTGAGGTGGTTTCTCTCATTAAAGGCTACAGGTCACCGATCCACAGCACTGCAACTCAACTGCAATAGTCTGCAACCAGCATCGCAGAGAGACTGGGAGAGAGATCTCAAAGACTTACTGCCTCCAAAGCACTGAACACGCACACACACACACACACACGCACAGATGATGCAACTTGGATTCAAGGGTAAACAGCAGTGGGAATGCGTGTTTGGATGGTAAGAGCGTGTGTGTCGCTGTGAGATGTTTGTATGTATGAGCGTTTGGGTGCTGAGAGTCTGTTGTTTTATACATGCTGTGCTGGTGTGTGTTTATTTCTGTATCTGTAACACAAGCAGCGCATCAACAACTCAAACTCAGGGCACGCACACACTACAGTTTACAGAACACAGAGAAAGCACTGATTTCAATTGGGATGCTGCACAGCAAGTACAAAAACCAGGATTTGTGACCCTCCATCATGTGGTCAACAGTTCACAATCTGATGGAGATCCACCGACCAATGAGAATTTGAGAGCTCCACTTTTAAAAATCAGATTCATTATGATATTTCTGATACATATTTCAAACTGACCCGACTCCTGCCACACCCTTAAAATGAATCTTACATATTTCTTTGCATCAAATATATATATTTTATATTATATATTTACTCAAAGACTTATGTATACATATATATATATATA